GAGAATGCCAGGCAAACAAGGATGGGGGGAAGAGGAGGGGAAGGCATTCTACAAACAGAGGCAAGTGAAGAGGTCAGGAAAGTGTCAAAGTGCATGGTGTGTCCTGGGAGCTGGGAGTAGTTAGGTGTGGCTGAACCACAGGTGAAGTAAGCAAGGCCCGGCCACACCTGGCTCTAAGGGCCCCAAGAGCCGGAACTTTCCTGAGGGTCGTCGGTGCTTGGGAAACTATTAAAAGTTTTGAGCAAGGACAGATTTTAAGGTTTTTAAATGTCATCAGATATGTATTTTAGAAAGTTTCCTCTGATATCACCATGGGAGACAAATAGGAGAGTGACAACAGTGAGGAGATTATTTCCAGAGGAAAAACTTAGGTCTGCACCAAGGCAGCAGAGGGCCACTTGGGAGGTTGGGACTGCTCTAGAGACATTTAGGCAGTAGAATAGACAGAGTCTAGTGAGTGGTTGGCTACGGAGGGTGATGGAGAGGAGGAGGAGTCTACACTGACTCCTGGCAGGAGCATGAAGGCAAGTGATAGTGTCATTAGCCACGAGAAACAACAAAGAGAGGAGCAGTGTTAGGAGAAATGTAATGAGTTCTGTTTTAAACTTGTTGAATTGAGGGTGCCCTTGCACATCTGACTGCAGCACCCTGTAGACAGCCAGAAAGGGAGTTCCTGGGAGAGAAGAACCACGCTGGAAGGATCCATGAGGAGTTGTGAACATTGGGGTGTTTTGCAAGGCCAAGAAGAGAAGACCTGGGGTGGAACATGGCAGAACACCAATGTGCTAGGCATGAATAAAGGAAGAGGAGCCTTTAGAAGAAAGAGATGAAGACCAGAGAAGAAGGCAGAGAGAGCAGGGTTGATGAAGCCAAAGGAGATCCGGCCTGGTGACCAGGGTAGAATGTGGCAGACAGATCAGGACAACCAGACTGAACAGTGACTGCTACTCTTTACAAAAAGTCTTGGTGATTTTGACCTAAGCAATTGTAGTTTATGTTGTATGTGTATGAAGTATCCAGTTCAGAGCAGGGAGAGAAGGTGGGATTACGGGAAGAGACCATAAGCTCATTTACCTAGCAGTTTGACCATGAGGGGAAGGACAGAGAGTTATGAGAACAGTATTTTTGTAGTAATTGTAGTTTTGTTCGTTCTTCTTATGTGAGACACCTGGTCTGAATTACATGATGTGGAGGAGAAAGCAGGTGGAGAGGGAAAGGCTGACGATACAGCAGAGAAGTCTAGTAAGTTCTCTGATGGTCATTTGCTTCCTCAGTACAATGGGGGCAACACTGTCTACCCCACGAATCTCAAAGGGTTGGTGGAGAGTTCAGATGAACCAGTGATTGGGGTACTGCTTTAAAATTGCCACTGGGGAGAAACTGAGTCCTAATGAACTTCAACTGATTAGTCATTAATTCAGCCAATTAATGACAGACCTGATTGTATGAGAAAAGTTCTGTAAGAACCCTGTGAAGGATATTTTTAGGAAAATCCCTAAAAATATCCATGTTTTGAACATCAGGATTTGCATATATCAATATACCCTGTCTTCTCAAAAAATATGCCAATGGCATTGTATGTATTTATATTTATGTATGTATCTTCAACACGTTTTGAGAAGCTTGGGCAATGTGCCATATTAGATGGAACATGCATTATTTAGCCAGACAGACTTGTATTCACTTCTAGACTCTGACAGTTATTTGTTGTAGGACAAAACCTTTCTGAGCATCAGTTTTTTTCTTTTTTCTTTTATCTTTAAATATAAAAATGGAACAAATTACAGCTGACTTACAGTTGTTTTGTGAGGATTGGGTAGTATAACAGATTCAAGTGTTTGGCAGACATTTACTTATTTATATCTGAATTTATTTTTAAACTATGAAATTCGTAAGTATTATGACCATTGAGAAAAAAGTCCAAAAACATTATCAAATTAAGAGTGTAACTTAAGTCTATTTAGGAGAACTCCTAGTTCAGTCCTGTGTCTTAAAGCAGCAGTCCTCAAAGTGTGGTCTTTGGACCTCTAGAGATTTCTGGGATCCTTTTAGGGGAGGTCTGCAAGGCCAAAGCTATTTTCACGTTAATTCTAAGACATTAATTTGCCTTCTTTTCCTGTGTTGACATTTGCACTAATTCTACAAAAGCAATGGTGGGTAGAACTGCTAGCACCTTAGTGTGATCAAGACAGTGACACCAAACCATCCTAGTAATTATTATATTTTTCACTGCCACAACTCTCAGTTTCACTTAAGAATATCTTTGATGAAGCAGTAAAAATTACTCATTTTATAAAATTTCAACCTCTGACTATATCTTTTTAATATTCTGTGTAGCAAAATGGGAAACACACATAATGCTCTCCTGCTACGCATCAAAGTACAGTGCTTGTTCTGAACTGAAACACTTGTGCCGTTGTTTGAGTTGTGAAAAATTAGCTGCTTTTTCATGAAACAAATACTTGAAAGAACAACTGACAAACTATGGTTTCTGAGACTTGGATATTTGGCAGACATTTTTTACAAATGAATGAAGTGAGCCTGTCACTTCGAGGTAAACAACTAGCAATATTTATTTTCAATGAAAAATTTTAACTTTCAAGTAAGAAATTAAAGTTTAGAAAACTTGTGTCTGCCACCATGAGTTTGGCAGTTTCCCAATACTTAAAGTATTTTCTTAATAAGATTGCGATTATTTAAATTCATGTGGGTTTAGATATTGAACAATGAAATGTATCAACATTTGGAAGATCTGCATAACTCAGCAAATCAGTATTTTCCAAATGACTAATAATGCATGATGTTATAAAATCATGTTTGAATTAAAGATCCATTCAAGGTGCAAAATAGACCAATAGATTTTAACGTAATGCTGTATGAAAAGTGAACTGATACGGATTCATGTTCCACTTTGCAATTTTAAGGCTTAAGAAACTACCACTTGATGAATTTTGGTGTAGCATCAGTGAAGAATATCCAGAATTCTTTGAAAAAGCTATGAAAATTCTTCTTCATTTTCCAACTATTTATCTGGGCAAAACCAGATTTTCTCATTTACTTAGAAAAACCCAACAAATTGTAACAGATTGAATATAGAAGTGATATGAGAACCCAGCTGTCTTCTATTAAGCCAGGCATTGATGAAATTTCAAAAAATGTAAAACAATGCTACCTTTGCCACTAAATTATTTTCTTTGGAAAATATATTTAATTTGCAGAAAATGATGTTATTTGTATTAACATGTAGTAGGTTTACTACAGTCATTTTAAGTGAATTAATAAATAAATACTTTGAAGATTTCTGTTATACATAATATCATTATATATTATTATATACATAATATATTGAATGCTAGTAAAAATAACCTGTATAAACAAAAGCTTCTTGTGGTCCTCGGTAATCTTAAGACTGTAACGTGGTCCTCAGGACCACTGTCATTTGGAATAGCCCCAATCATGAAAACAGACTGAAAGATCATTAAAGGCTTATCATGATATTTTGTCTACAGAGTGGCCATCACCTCAATTGTATTCGTATGATATATTTTTTGTTTTATACAAATGTAAATAAGCCCTCTAACATAAACTTCATTTTGTAGACTGGTGAAGATCATTAAAGGCTTATCATGATATTTTGTCTACAGAGTGGCCATCACCTCAATTGTATTTGTATGATATATTTTTTGTTTTATACAAATGTAAATAAGCCCTCTAACATAAACTTCATTTTGTAGACTGGTGTACCGTGTACTTGACATCTCTGCTGTGGGGACCGGGATAAAAGAACTGATGGAAACCATCCTACAAATCCTGCAGCTTGGGTAAAACAGAATCACACCCTTGAATGCGCACACCACACCCGGCATTCTTTTGTCTGTTGGTTCAGTTTGAATCTCTTCCCTACCCCACTCTCTCATGATGGGAGTTGTTACACAATTCATGAAGTAGTTGTCTAAAGCCCCTTCAGAATTAATGATTACCTTTGATTTGATTACTCTTACACACTTAACCAATGTGAAGTTGAAACATCAAGTCTTAGTCACCTTTTGTTCTTCCTGAAGACATTATTTACTTAATGAAATATTTGTTGAGCACCTATTACGTGCCAGGCACTATGCTGGCTGCTAGGAATCAAACTATAAATGAGGCCCTTGCTTGGAGGAGAATTAAGTAATTATAATGTGATATCATAAGAGAATAATGGGGTGCTGTGCAAGTCCATGAGAAGGGTAGCAGTGGGGTATCAAGGAAGAATTCTTGGAGAAAGTAACATCTAAATACAGATCCAAAAAACAGCCCAGTCATCTTGGGTTAAAGTACGGGGGTGGGGGTGGGGGTGGATTGTGGAGTAAACGAGGGTTAAAAGGAAGAAGGAATGGCTTAAACTGTGACATACCCAGGAAATGTTACAAAATTAACCATTACTACAGAAAATCACCTTAATTTTAAATACCTAGATAAGATCAACACATCTTCCTTGAATTTTAGTTTGAGAAGTAAAATGGGATATTTTAAAATCATTTTAATAGGCTTAAATACATTTAATTAAAATCAGGACTGTCACTATCTTACAAAAGAATTGCTGGATTAAAAAAAGATTTAAAATTTTATTAAAAAGATTTCAAAGATTAATTTAGTACACTGTAAAAAAAAAATAATTCTTACTTTATTCAAGGCACTGAGCTCAGTGCTGAAAGAGATACAGAAACATCGAACCGGGCTGAGCCTGACCCTCCTTCACTGAGGAGACCCCTGACCCTCAGCCCCAGCGTCTGGTCCTCCCGCCTTTGGGCCGACCTCATGCATGGTGCAGCCATCTGGTATTGAATGTATCTCAGCAAAGGACAGTCATTTGCTCGTATCTGTCCCCACACGAGACCACAGGGACTCTGTGGGGTTTGCTTCTGTGTCCTCCCTGTGTCCTGTGCACAGAACAGATGTACGATGAGAGCTGCTGAGTGAAGGGGAGAGCTGAGGAGTTAAGGAATGAATCTAGAATTCTAGCACTTTCCAATTCCAAGTAGTTTGCCTTGTAGTAAGCTTTCCCCCGTGTCATTCTTTTCCAGGCTCCAAGCCACATATATGGCGGGCACAGCAGCCATGTCACCAACGTCGATTTCCTCTGTGAAGACAGCCACCTCATCTCCACAGGCGGGAAAGACACGAGCATCATGCAGTGGCGGGTCATTTAGTCCCCGGCAAGGACTGCGAGAAGCAGAACATGCACGGGAAGACAGACTCGCATCACGCTCGGTCACTGTGATTTCTGTTTTGTTTAAGAAATTCTTACAAACCTCAGGAAACTATGCCCTCTGCCGGTCACCTTAGCTTAGTGAGTCAGCAAGTGTCCCGTCAGAGACCCCGTTCCGTTCCCACTTTCGTTGTGCGATGTGTGAAATGTGCACACTGAATATGAGAGAGGCTCCAGAGTTGACCTTATGGTGACAACAGAAGTACCTGGTGTACCCGTAGTGACTTTTCTATGAACTCTTCCAAAATGCTCACAGGATGCCTTTTAAAATATTGTATATAGTCTTTACTATGTCGCCATCTAGCTTGCTAAGTCAAATATTTATAATAATGAGGTACTGAATGATCGCTTTCCAGTAGTGGGTCCTCAAAGGATAAATTGCTTGAGAAGAGAGTGGATAGTGATTTGCACAGCTGGTCAGGAAATACAAATATGAGGCTTTATTTGGTTACATTTTCTAAGGTTTCATTCAATTCTCCCTTTGGGAGGCTGGTGAGAAAAGGGTGTATTCTTTTTGTGTTGAGCAGATTCTACTCCAAATTAACTTAAATATTTCAGCAGGTTATACAAGCGTTTCAGAGTTTCAGTGAGACGGTCCTGCCTAATGAAATGCAGTCAGCCTCTTAACACCTCCGTGAATTGGTCCCCTCTGTCCCCTGTCCACGTGCCCTGATGAATGGTGAGACATTAGCCACCTTCCTCTGTATATTAATTGGCATGATATGGCATTGTACTTGTATAGGATTTTAGCAATTCATAATAAATATGTAAGGCTAGGCTTTACTGTTTTATGCTTATGGACATTGTACATTTGTATTTTATGACCAAGTAGACAAGTCAAAAAGATATCTCTTAAGTGTACCATAAACCTGCGGAGGGGAAAAGTCTCGAAAGGTCCACCAGGTACTAAGGGCAGCTTCTTCTCCTGTCTTTTGTGCATGGATGGCTCACGATACCGTATGAAATAAGATTGTGCTCTTATGAGTAAAACTTAGGTGGCATAAATTTGTCCAGAAGGCCTTATCCATAGTGTGACAGATTGAAATTTATTGTTTACATTGGAGAATGTATCTCGGATTTTTAAATAGAAGAGTAATAAACAGACTTTGAAACAAATGTTGAGATTTTCACTTCTAGGCAAGTAAATGAATTGGATTATCTGAACTCTACAGCACTGGTTGTTTAGAGTGGCTGACTAAGTGCGACAGTGGAAACCTTTTTTATGGCATCTCCAGCCTGCTGCAGAAGTGCAGGGCGCCACTGAACAACGTGCATTAAAGATGCATCTGTTTGTATGTCTCCTTATCAAATATATTCTGTAATGAAATAAAATCTGAAAAGTGGATTTCTTATGGACCTATATTCATAAAAGTATATAAATTAAAATATTTAAAATTAGATACGATTGACCCTATATTCTGTTTCATATACAGAACTTTTTACTCTCCCGGGAAATTCGCAAATGGAACTGTAGTTTGCATGTGGTGTGGAAGTGCTCATCAGATTAAGTAACTATAAAGAAGTTGACTTCATTACCATACCCAGTTGCTAGTGTACTTGGTCATGTAAATACTGGCAAAAACAACCATTTTTCAATTAATAATTGAGGGAATAATGAGATCTGGGAAGGGTGAGGGATCATTATTGACTTATAAGTCAGTAAGATCTACTTTTTTAAAAAAAATTTTTACTGAATCAAAATTATACATATTTGGGGGTTCAACATTGAGATATGTGGATCAAATCAATATTACTAGCGTATATATTGTTACAAATTGTAATTATTCTTTATGCCCCTTGTCCAATCCCACCCTATTCCCCTTCCTTTCCCCCCCCAATCACCCTAGATTTCTTCTCTCCCTCTGAAAGAATAATGGTTGCTCTGTTGATTTGCTGCCCAGATGATCTGTCCAATGCTGAGAGGCATGATCAGGTCCCCCAATACTATCATAGAGCATATGTCTCTTCCATCACTATGAAATGGGCTCTGTGGAGACAGACATCCTCCTCCTTTCTTTATCTCTGCTGGTGACTCTCCTTGTGTCAACTCACACCAGTTGCCAGTGGACCATATGCGTGGTGGTTGTGGCATCTAGCCATCTTCACGGAAGCCATGGTTATCGTGGTGGCTGTGGTGGTCACCCACATGGAGGAGATGTTTTTGGCCTGCTCCGTGGTGCTGGCAGTGTACCTGGTTGTGGAGAGTGTCTGATCCCTGGTTCCATGCCCCGGGTCCCAAAGTGGGTCCCGAGATGCTGGCATGGTGTACATGGTTGTGGGAGGGGGGTCCAGTCCCCAGCTCCTTACCCTGGGTCCCTAGGCATGCCCCAAGGTGCATATTTCTACTTTTAAATGCCATATCTAGGAAGGAAATGTGTTAATATTTATTTCATTGTGCCAATGCCAAATCAGATTCTATTGTAAAACTAGATCAAATATGAATCAGTACACTGTAAAACTCAAAATCTCTATGGGAAATGTAATGAGAAACAGGGGTTATTATTTTCTGAGAATAACTTCTCAACTCTCATTATGCTCTGTTGAAGAAAACATTACATATTTCTGGTCATTTAAAAGAAGTAGAGTCTTTTATTTCTGGATAATAAATTGTAATTGAATCACTGAGACTATTTTGGGAAAACAGTTTCAATACCAATAGTCTGATGTGACTCTGGTGTTATAAAGGAAAAATCTGATTTTCCCTAACATAAGCTTAGATTTATCCAGTCTAAGTCCTTCCCATTCCTTCAGTTTAATCCTTATATATCATTTTCTTTCCAAAAATATAATCAAATATAGAGCCTTGAATTGTTCTCTTTTGTCTTGCTAGCCTTTATCAGTAGCTCCATATTTTTAAGGCCTTAAATTTCTATAAATGTGATAATCACAGTGGTATTCTATCACTTCCAATACCCCAACTTAAACCACTCAGTCAAAATCCAAGGGAATTCCCATTACAAAGAAACTGCAAATTTAGGGGTCAGATGTTCTTCTGCAATTAGAAGAGAATAATGTAATGAAAATTCAAATAGGTTTGAAACTCAGAGGTCATTTCAAACACTAAGCTCAAAAGAACTCATTTGTACATCTGTCAAAACATGAGAAAATCATTATGATTTTGAAAGAATGTTTCAAAGGCCTTATCTATGTGGGAAATTGCACACTGACCTGTAAGGAATATATAATTTATGTTAAACACAGGGTCTCATTCAAGAACTAAAGATAATCTTATATTCAATCAATTCTAGTCCAGAGTTTTTCTAACTTATTTTCAGTAAGAATGTTCTTAAGGGAATAAGTCATATAAATCAAGCAGAACCCAAATGCGGAAAGAGCTTCAAAAGCACCAGAAATGTCTGACTCTCTTCATTTTTACATCAGCAAACACATTTACAAGCCTCTTTTGCTCTTCCTCTGCATTGCAAGGCAAGTGCAGCAGAGCACAATGTAGGGGAAGAAATATAAAACGAAGAATAAAGGCAGTGGGTGACGGGAGTTAAAGGAGAAAAGAGTGAAGAGAAGAGGAGATAGTGATTAGGGACTTAGTAATGATGAGAGTAAAGACAGGTGGGTGAAATCATCAGGGTTAAGGATAGGCGGTAGAGAGCTATAAGAAAAGAAGGCAGGAAAATAGTGAGGTGAGGAGCAAGTGCAAGTGCATCAGGGGAGTCGAGCAGTCCAAGAGGAAAGAGAAGGTACAGAACTTAGTGCTAAAGCTAGAGGAGGTGCCAGAAAAGGAGATCCCATACTGTTGGAAGTATGGAGAGAAACGGGAAAGGTGTAAGAGACAGAGAGGGACACAGAACCGTGAGATGAAAATGCTTTGCAACCTTCTACCAGGATACATAGGGAACCTCATAAAGCCCATACTTATGTCATGAGAAAACAAAATGCAGTAGCGCAATGATACTGACTAGGAGGAAGGGGAGCATATTTCAGGAATTGACACCTTGCTACTAGTTAGTTAGGAAAGCTTCTTCTACTAGTTAGTTAAGAGCTGCTTGATTTTCATGGGCAGTTTGAGTGAAAGGAAAGATGATAGAAAGCCGAAGCAGGGAGATCATGAAGTTAGAGGAGTCCTTTCAGTAAAAGGAGAGAAAGTAAATTGTATTGTGTATTTGCACCAAGTGGGATTTAAGCCAGTTTGCCTTAAAGCAAAATTTCCAAAAAGTTACCCATATTTAAACACAGCTTCTACTATTACTTACTTGATTGATTTGTTTAAGCTATAGACCTTCTTTTCTCTAAATAGCTTATTTAAAAAGGAAATTAACAACATAAACAGTAATATCTGTTTCACATGCTGGTTATGGGTTCTTTTTCCTCATACACATTAAAATAAACAACATATTTGCTATGAAACCACCTAAAATAATATCTCATGCCAGTGTTGCTTTGCATGCGTAGGAAGTGAGACAGTCCTGGGCAATGAAGAAGACAGGAGGGATTTTGTCTGACCTTCCACAGTGGAGGGAAGCTCCTGAAAGATTCTAAGGAGGTGAGAAATGCAGTAGAGCAATGGACAGTGAATCCCAAGGCTTGGAATGGAGCAGGGCTTAATAAAGGACAGCAGAGATGAGGAAGTGGTCCTGGGAGGCCTGGTGTGAAGGTTGAACACTGTCACTTCTGTCCCATTTTATTGGTTAAAGCAACTCACAAACTGGTCTAGATTCAAGAAGTGGGGAATTCCAAACTCTACCTCTGATGGGTGGGATGACAAAGAAATTTTGGCCATTTTTAATCCACTGCAGTTTATATAGTCACATGCTAAAACCTGTCCCATTTTATTGGTTAAAGCAACTCACAAACTGGTCTAGATTCAAGAAGTGGGGAATTAAACTCTACCTCTGATGGGTGGGATGACAAAGAAATTTTGGCCATTTTTAATCCACTGCAGTTTATATAGTCACATGCTAAAATCTCAGCAGAGATGCATCGACCTAATTCAAAAGAGGTAATATTAATTTGGAATGCCATTTTCATGTTCTTTTGATGATACAATATATTCAGGACTG